ATCGATACAGGGCTTTAGAATATCGATACAGTATCGGGAAATGAAATATCGCGATATTTCAGTGTATCGATATTTTCTTACACCCCTAGTATTCAATGTTTATTGAATGTTGTGTTTAATCTGGAACAGTTTATGTATAATCAATTAGTAAAACTGCACAGATTTTATCATTTAATTATAGAAAATTGTATAATCCACTATTAATTACATCATGTCAAATTGTGGGTACATTGAACATGAAATGTGGAAGACAAAAAACAAAGAAATTAAACAAACTTTGGAAAGAAAATGAAGCATTTAGAAAAAGTAATTAAACTGATTTGATAGGGCATTAAAAACATGTCACAGAACACCAACCCTTAGCATACAGGTGACCAAAGCAACAAAAASACTTTTCAAGGAGAGGATGAAAAAACCTTTAAAAGGCTGAATTTTTCCACCTGATCTGTTTAATTCAGCTGCATTGCTGAAAATTAGCTTCAAGTCTCCACAATTACTTCCTACAAAATTTTCCAGGTTATTTTCCATTTTCTGTGCTGCCTTCTCATTTTCTTTTCCAACCAGTAAAGAATAATAAGTCTGCGGGTTTTATCTTCAAAATAATGTGCAAATTCTACAGTTTACTATAGTTATTCATTAGACTGATTAAAAATATGCAACTGTGCTTCTGTATACTTAAATGTGTAACTATATTTTCTCTATTGCATGAGCAAATGTGTGCAGGCATGATGTTTACAGCATTTAAGTAAATTTACTATTTGAAAATACAAGTAAACACAGTTGAAGGTTGTAATAAGAGTTGTACTGTGAAATGAGAAGGACTGGACAGTGACATCTGTGTATTTTAGTCTTCCAGTACCTGTCTGCGGAGACACTGGGAAGTCTTCCTCCCAGGTGACTTCTGGGCCTTCACCATGCTGCCAAGCCTGGCTTGCTGAACCACACGTTCACTACCAGCATACACCTGCAACCACGCAACAACACTCTGCATGAGCCAGGCACTGTGTTGAATGAATCACCATGTCAGATTGATGCACTGCTAATACAGAAAACTTTTGCCCAGATAACAATATTTCATTATTAAACATTGTTTATTCAAATGGGATTAAAGCGTTGGAAATGTCACTTCATGTGTATCTGTACAGCAAAAACACATAAGTTTAAGTAATATTATAAAACAAACACAGCTTTGCTAAAACAATGCAATTTATTAGGAAACGCAATATTCGCATAACAAAGTTTCTTGCTGAATAACGCACACTTCATGGCAGTGCTGCATTGGAAAACACACAACAAATCTTATTACACCACTGCACATTGACTTGCTCTTTAAAAGCTATACTTTAAAGACAGTTATAGCGGCATGACTAATTTGACTGCTTTTCCAAATGCTGTCAGAACAATAAAACCAACATTATTATGCTGCAGAAGGAGCGCCATCTGTGTGAATCTAAAGTTCYGTTCTCTGCCAACTAATGGGCATATATCCTGTAGATCCCGTTCCCAGAACACCTTACAGTTAGTCCTCACTCCTCAGAGTGCACATTACTATCATTTGATAGAGAAAAGTCTAAATATTTATTTGTGCAGCCAGCTTAAAAGAGCACCTACAAACCCTTATATTAGATATAAACCTGCTCAGGTTGAACAGACTGAGATAAACACATACTGCTTTCAGTTAGGACTAGCTTTTATTGATGAATGAATCAGAAATCATATATTTATGACATGGTTTACCAACACACCCAATATTTTGGTACGCTTTAAAAACTGCTGGTTATTTTAAGTCACTCAATTGGTGGGTAAAGCTGTTGGGTCACAGTTTGGGTTTGTGTTGGACGGCAGTAAAATACAGGTTTTTAAATAAACGACTACTTTATGAAGATGGAAATGTGGACAGGAGCTTGCAATTGACAGTACAAACAAGATGTTGCTGACCTCTAGTGGTTATGCTTTGTAGTAAAACGTTTCATCCACCAGACTACATGAATCTGACATCAAATACAGGTCAGCTTCAAATAATCTKTRAAAACAAATTGATATTTTGTGGTTGTTTTCTTGCCAGTAAGCACACCRAAAATGCTCTGACAACAAAACTGTCTCTCTAAGGTGGGATGTCTTCTTCGAGCAGCTTGGGTGTAACATGCTGCAGGTGACTCAAACTTAGAAAACAGGAATTAGACAATATGATGCAAAGAACTAGCCTCATCTAAAAGCTTAAAATCTTCAAATGTGAAAACAAAAAAAATGTTTTAGTTCCTCATTAAAGATACATGTTAAAAAAAACTGTAAAGTTGGGGTCAGTGCGAAAATAACGTTCAATTATTTAAGATAATAAAATGAGGTGCAGTTCCAKAGAATCTCCAGCAGAGGGAGACAAAGCATGCAGCTAGAATGAAAAGTTAGGTGTTTTTTAGACAACTCCAAATGATAAAAAAGGAGTTCTGAACAACAGGAGGCTGTAGTGGTGTTACTACAAAAACAGCATGCCAACAAAACTGTGTGAAAATGTGTTTCTAGAGAAGTAAGAAACTGKTAAAAGTGGGGAAACAATCTGCCTTTTTCTAATATGAAAAAATACACGATAAGAAATCAATGTGTTGTTAAAAGCAAACGTCAGATAGTGACGTCTGTAATAAGGAATTAAATTAAATCAAAGACTAACAGCTGTGAAAAGGATGTCATTATTACACAGCCATGACTCATTGTAATTTAACAGCTTTTTATAGGGTCAAATTCACCCACTGAGCACAGCAGAATCACAT